GTCTTCGATTGAGATCATTCACTCCTCTTTGTTGTTTCCGCTTGTATTGGGTTCTGCATATTTGTTCTTCGGTGAAATTGAAATCGTTGAGATCGTTCCTCTTTGTAATCGGTGCTCTTAAGAATTTGCTATGGTATTGTGAAGATGAATGCTTAATGATTTCGATTGAGAATGATTAGCTTGAAAATTGGATTCTCTGATGAAGAATAAGGTGGAGAAAACATGAAATCGAGTATTAATAAGAGCTGGGTTTGCTTGCTTGAGCTGACATTATCACTCAATTGTCAAAATCATGTGAAATTGAGATCTGTGGCACAATTTGAGTATATGAAGAAATCGATTCATTTTCCATTATATGCTTGTTTCTTCCTGAAATTTATGCTGCATTTAGTGGAAAATTGTGAACAATGACTATTACCTGTTTGCTCTGCAGGCTTGGCTAATCACTGGCTTTTTTCAAACTAAGTTATGTATTGTTCTTCTTCAATGCATCCAAATGCAAACAAAGAGAACACCTCTACTTCAAATGTTCAACAAAATTTTGTACGAATAACAAGGTCACGAGCTAAAAAGGCCTTGGGAGAAGGATCATCAATACCTCCAACAAAACCCTCTTTTAAACAGGTACTGAAACAAGTTCTTATAAAAAGTCATAGACGAATTGCAGCAGATTATGATGCCCAAATCTCTAATCTTCCTGCATTTGGTTTATCAGCAAAAGAGACGTGCGGTACTTAGGGATGTGAGTAATACTTCTGCAGAAAATATTTATTCAGAACTCTTGGGGGGAGGCAACATTAAGGTAAAGATATCAGATGCTATGTTTTAATCTTCTTGGTTGGTATATATTGTTTGCTGGTTATAGCCTTCAAACTTCCCCTTCGAGCTTCTTATTGTCGAGATCATGTTGCAGGTTAGCAAAAAATGTCTAAAAGATCCCAAAAAATCAGCAGAGGAAGGTGGTAATGTTGCCATGGAAATTCTGGTAAATATGCATACAGAGAAATCAAAACTAGCAGAAGATTTGTCCAAGATCAGGATGGCTGAATCCCAAGATGCCTTTCTTTCAAAATCTAAAGATGAAGACATTATTGAGCAACGTAAGAACTCCGACGTCTTGTTGATCCCTCCCCAACTCTTACTTAAGCATTGGACTCCAAAATTAGTAGCAGTTCCAATTAATTGTGATGTTAAGGATTGAAACAATTGAAGTCTATACCCAAATCTATATTTCTCAAATTTACTCAAGGTATGTATCTTTTACTGGATTGTGCAGAAGAAGACGGATCTGGTGTCATGCATTTTCTTCAAGTTGTAGATATTGATTCCAATGTGGAAGATCCCCAGTGTTGCAGCTTTTATGCTGCTGAGATATACGACAACATACATGTTGCTGAGGTTTGAATTACATGATCCGAATATTTGGTTTACATCTTTTCACAGTTGGCTTCTTGTATATTGGAATTATAACCCCTCTTTTCCTGCAGCTTCAACAACGACCCTTGGCTAATTATATGGAGCTTGTGCAGCGAGATATCAACCAAGACATGAGAAGGATTCTGGTTGACTGGCTTGTAGAGGTTAGTGTCCTTCAAATATAAAGGCATCATGTTCGTTTTGAACAGGATCTTGAACATTCTTATTCACAGCTTTCCTTGCAATTTTCTAGCACAAACTGAGAATAATTTTCCAAGAATTTTGAGTACCATTCTTCACTGCGTGATATATCTTCCAGGTTTCTGAAGACTACAAGCTGGTTCCAGATACGTTTTACCTGACAGTGAATCTTATTGATCGATTTCTGTCCAACATTTACATTGAAAGGCATAGACTCCAGCTCCTTGGTGTCACTTGCATGCTTATAGCTTCGTAAGTCCACACTTTGCTGTTTTTGTGTGCGTCAACTTCAAGTTATAATAGCATTTACAGCACAAGAAGAGCGCAAAGTGAAATATTAAGTATACTAGTTAAGTAGAGAAACACTAAGGCTTTTTTCTTTCTTCTACCTTTTTTTTGTTGATCCATGAAGAAAATACGAAGAGCTTTGCGCACCACGGGTGGAGGAATTTTGCTTCATTACAGCCAATACATATACGAGACCAGAAGTAATTAGCATTCAAATAATACATATCTCAATTTCTTCGATGAGTATAGATTCTTGATAAAAATAAACAAACTAGAAACTGTGTTTCAGGTGTTGAGCATGGAGATTCAAGTTCTAAATTCTGTGCACTTTAAATTATCGGTTCCTACCCCCAAAACTTTTCTGAGGTAAAAACTAAAGGCAGAACTATGAATCATCACATCTTCTTACCTTGGTTTAGAAACAGTACCACTCATTTTTAATCTTACCTCAACACTATTTTTGCAGGCGGTTCGTTAAAGCAGCTCAAGCTTCTTACAAGGTTTTAAACAATGATCCATTCACCGGTAATCCTCACAACTATGGAAACTTAGAATCTGATTATTTTTTTTGGTCTTTCTTATAATTCATGCAGGTGCCTCTCATTGAACTGGAGTTTTTGGCAAACTATCTCGCCGAACTGACACTCCTGGAATATACTTTCCTAAGGTTCCTGCCATCACTAATTGCTGCTTCAGCTGTTTTCTTAGCCAGATGGACACTCGATCCAACTGACCATCCTTGGGTTAGCTCGTGTTTCTTGAATCTTGGAACAAGAGTTTTTGTGTGTTGCCTTTATTTTTGTTTGGCTGATATAAGAATGATATTGGTTACAGAACCCTACTCTGCAGCACTACACTAGATATGCGGTAGCCGAGCTGAAAAACACAGTACTTGCAATGGAGGATTTGCAGCTCAACACTAGTGGCTCTACCCTCGTTGCTACTCGTGAGAAATACAATCAACCAAAGGTAAGTTCCTCTACAAAACACCGTCTAATAGCGGATTGTTGAAGAAAAGTGAAAAAACAATCTGGTTCTAATTCTGCATGACTTTGATAGTTTAAGAGTGTGGCAAAGCTGACATCTCCCAAACGAGTCACATCACTGTTCTCAAGATGACATCGAGCATTGCGTTCTTCTGAGTAAACCACCGGGAATTAAAGCATAACCAAGTCCGGTGATCGATTCCCAGTGTTTGTTTTCTCTGCTAGTTTTGCCTGTCTGTTATTTCTGTAGCTTTTGTGAGGCGCCTGATAATTTTTAGGCCATTACTTATCACATTTCTAATCCCATTTTTAGAACTATTCAACACCTTGCGAGATTCTGTACCTAAGAGCTCTTGTAAAACGAATAGAGACTAAAGTTAATAATGATAATATATGATTTATGTTTCATGGCTGGATTGTTGTTATGTTGTTTGTTATGATTTTCACAATGCTATATTCATATGGGAACATTAAGATTTACCTGGGTTTTGGTTAGTAAGTGACGAGTACCCATTAGATTCACAAATCTATGTTATTATAGAAGACAAAGATAGTGCAAACGTAGACAGGACCAAGAACTGTTGTAATTATGTCGCAGTGTTACCTTCTGCTTGTTCTGAGAGAGTATGTGGAACTTAAAGAACCTTTATGTGCAGATGATAACTGGAACCATTGGTGACGATTGATCCGTAAAGTTTGTAAAGACATCAAAAAGAAAATCAACAAGAGAAGCAAATCAAATAACAAAGGAAACAAAGGAAAATATCAAAGAAACAAAGGAGATTGTTCCACACATCTGATTCTCCCTCACTTTCTCACAAGGCTAAAAAAGAGCATAGAGCCTGCATGAAAGTAAGTAGGAGAAGAACAACAGCAGCCACAACAGAAGCAATTGACCAAGGATTGTGGAAATAATCACGTCTTAGAATTGCGTGCCACTTGTTCCAAGTCGTGTTGCAATGCGCCTGTAGATTGTCATAGACGGTCTGATAGTAAAACGTGCTGTAACTCGTCTGAGTTGTCTCCTTCAATACGCGATCGAACAGGCTCGCAATGTGTTTTGCATTTCCTCGCCTGTTCACGATGATCCCTTGGTCGATGAACAATTCAGCATCCATGGGGGACCTTACGAAGCAACTGAGGAACATCATATAGTCGCTGAAGTAAGCCTTTAAACGATGGCATTGCTCAAACAAGATGATATTTCTGTATAGAGCTTCTGTGATGTCACTGATTTTGATTTTGGGAATCGTGAGAACTCCATCGGCAAACCTTATGTCGAGTGGTGGGGTGCTACTGTCGGCAGGCTTGAGCTTCACGCCCGCATTTTGAATCACTTTCGCACTCAGTGTAGAGTCCATCATCTTCATGCTTTTTCCCGGTAAACTCAAAGACAAAGGCAGGTGAATAGATCTCAGAAGGTCAACGAAATGGCAGGTCTCTGAATCAGAAATGCTTGTTGAAAATGAAGGGATGCTCATCCAGTATTTCTTGAAGTGGCCGTGGATGATTGGAATCAGAGGAAGTCCCCGTCCGTGGCCACCATCTAGCAATCCAAACATCTTCTTTACAACAAAATATGGAAGCTGATTTTCAAGTAACATAATGTCGTGGTTCACATCGACAATCATCTTTTGCTTCCCATAGATCCTATCCAGCATACTGTCGTCTACATCATCTGGAGACCTTAAAAGAAGTTCTACTAGGAAGCCTGCATCAACGATTAACATCTTCACAAATTCATTGCTACTAAGTTTTATATCTTCAGCATAACAGAGACGAGCTTTTGCTTCCCATGTCTTTGCAACTTCAATCATGCCCTCTAAACTTAAGGATGTTTTAGGAACAAGACATTTCAGGTACCTCATTTTATGATCTTCCATGGCTTCAAGTTCTTTTTCACCGTGATGTAAGGGCCCAATGGATATAATGCGAGGCGAATACGCATCTGGGTTCAATCTCCGTAGCCTCTCAGGTACCTTATAGATACAACAGTCTTTTGAAAGAGAAGACAATGCTTCCAACTTCTTGTTGATGGAATCTAAAAGAGAATCATCTGGAAGCTCCGGAATAGCCTGATTCTGATCCATGTCTCGTATGACTTTCAACAGAACCAGAGCCTTGAATTGTGTAAAAATGAGAGACAACTTCTTTCTTACACTGCTAAATTCAAATGTCAATGCCAAATCGTGACTGCCTCTCACAAAGACTCTTTAATTTCTGGTAACACAAGTTGACAAATAAAAAAGGAATACCACCAGAGAGTGCTTTACCAAGTCATCTGAATCTCGGTTCTGTAAACAGAAGTTATAGAGGTGCATATATATATAGCAAAACGTGGAAGAAGAGCAAGATCATGGGAATATTAATGCATTATGAAACTGCAAGCGATATTATGGGAACCTCCTGCAATGAACTGATGATACAATACTCTTTAAAATTGTGTTAATGTGCGTTTATATTGAAAGATACTGACTACTGAACAGAGTCTCAGAAAATAAACAACTCATGAAACACGCAAGGTAAGTGAGAGCAAATAACAAAGCTACAATGCCATTTTTGGCAACAAAAACAGGACAGAAAGTCTACCAAATGTCAAAAACTCACTTGAGCTCATGAGACGTTTAGCAATGGGAGGAGCAGGAGTGGCCCTTGTGGCTTTCTTCAAGTCATAATTTGTCATAGAGAAAGCGCAGATCATCTCAAGAACCAGAACAGAAGGAACTGACCAAAATTTGTGGAAATCTTGTCGCAGAGTTTGCTTATAAGAAACGTTTTGTGCAGATTTGTCCTCTGAACAATAAGTGTCATCAAAGGCAGAGTATTGTTATGCGCAGTGATCAATTCCCAGTGTTTGTGTCTCTGCTAGTTTTGTCTGTCTGTATTTTCTGTAGCTTTTGTGAGGCGCCTGATAATTTTAGGCCGTTACTTGTCACATTTCTAATCCCATTTTTAGAACTATTCAACACTTTGCGACATTCTGTACCTAAGAGCTCTTGTAAAACGAATAGAGACAAAAGTTAATAATGATAAAATATGTTTCATGTTTCATGATTGTTATGGTGTTTGTTCTGATTTTCAGAATGCTATATTTATATGGGATCTCATTTAGATTCACAAATATTTGTTATTATAGAAGACAAAGATAGTGCAAACCAAGAATTGTTGTAATTATGTGGCAGTGTTACCATAGAAGATTATATAATTTGGATCCGCTGATTTTCTTGTGCTTGTTCTGAGAGAGTAAAGATTGTAAAGACACGAAAAAGAAAATCAACAAGAGAAGCAAATCAAAATCAGAGGGAAAATATCAGAGGACCAAAACAAGGAAAAAAAAATAAGGAAACAAGGAAACAAAGGACACCAAATCATATAACAGGGAAAAATCAAAGAAGCAAGGAAACAAAGGAGATGGTTCCAAACATCTGATTCTCTCTCACTTTATCACAAGGCTAGAATAGAGCATAGAGCCTGTATGAACGTAAGAATGAGAAGAGCAACAGCAGCCCCAACAGAGATAGCTGACCAATGAGTGTGGAAGTAATCACGGCGCAGAATTGCTTTCGACTTGTGCCAAGTCGTGTTGCAATGCACCTCTAGTTTGTCATAGACAGTCTGATAGTAAAACGCGCTGTAACTTGTCTGAGTTGTCTCCTTCAATACACGATCAAACAGCCTCGAAATGTCTTTTGCATTTCCACGCCTGTTCACAATGATCCCGTGTTCGATGAACAATTCGGCATTCGATGGAGATCTTACAAAGCGACTGAGGAACATCATATAGTCGCTAAAGTAAGTATCTAAAAGATGACATTGCTCAAACAAGATGATGTTTCTGTATAGAGCTTCTGTGATGTCACTGATTTTGATTTGGGGAATCGTGAGAACTCCCTTGGCAAATGTTATGTCGAGTGGAGAGGTACTGCTGTCTGAAGGATTGAGCTTCACACCGGCATTTTGAATCTCTTTTGCACTCAGTGTAGAGCCCATCATCCCCCTGTTGATGCTTCCTCCTGGAAAACTCAAAACCGAAGGCAGGTGAATAGATCTCAGAAGGGCAACAAAATGGTGAGTCTCTAAACCGAAAGTTCTCGTTGGAAATGGAGGGATGCTCATCCAGAATTTCTTGAAGTGGCGGTGAATGATTTGAGGAATCGGAAGCCCCCCTCGATGATCACCACGTAGCAAACCAAACATGCCCTCCACAACAAAATACGGGAGCTGATTTTCAAGTAACATAATGTCGTGGTTAACATCAACAATCATCTTTTGCTTCCCATATATCCTATCCAGCGTACTGTCGTCTACCTTATTTGGAGACCTTAAAAGCAGTTCTACTAGGAAGCCTGCATCAACGATTAGCATCTTCACAAATTCATTGCTGCTAAGTTTTATCTTTTCGGCATAACAGAAACGAGCGTCTGCTTCCCATGTCTTTGCAACTTCTACCATGCCCTCTAAAGTTAAGGATGTTTTAGGAATAAGACATTCCAGGTACCTCAGTTTATGATCTTCCATGGCTTCGAGTTCTTCATTATTACCATGATGTAAGGGCCCAATGGATACAACCCGAGGCGTATACGCATCCGGGTTCAATCTCCGCAGCCTCTTAGGTGCCTTATAGATACAACAGACGAGTGAAAGAGAAGACAAAGCTCCCAACTTCTCCTTGATGGAATCTACAGGGGGAGGATCATCTGGAAGCTCCGCAATAGCCTGATTCTGATCCATGTCTCGAATGACTTTCAACTGAACCAGAGCCTTGAATTATGTAGAAATGAGAGACAACTTCTTTCTTGCACTGCTAAATTCAAAAGTCAATGCCAAATCGTGATTGCCTCTCACAAATATTCTTTAATTTGTGGTAACACAAGTTGACACAAAAAAAAGGAATACCACCGGTGGGTGCTTTACCAAGTCTTCTGAATCTTTTAGGCTTTTCGGTTCTGTAAACAGAAGTTATATACATCAAGGATTCATTCCTCATGAGTAATAGTTTAGAAGCTCTGACACGAACAAGTGGAGAAGAGCAAGAGCACGGGATTACTAATGGAGGATGAAACTGCAAGAGATATTATGACCTTCTACTGGAACCTCATGTGATGATACGGTACTCATTGAGATTTGTGAGTTTATGTGCTTTGATATTGAAAGATACTGACTACTGAACAAAGTCCTAGAAAATAAACAACTTACGAAACACAGAATCAATGGTTAAGTATAAGTAGAAGATAGTGCAAACAGACTAATGTAATTAAGAAGGCGGAGAACAAAAGCAGCAAGAACAGAAGGAAAATGACCAAGAATTGTGGAAATCATGACGCAGAGTTGCCTTATGCTTGTTATGAGAGAGTATGTAAAACTCAAATCCACGACCTGTAAGAAACTTATAAGTTACTTGTTCTACAAACAAATACTCTGCAAGGTAAATTACTGCTTTTGATGAGACTTTGTGTAAAAGACATCAAACGGAAAGTCATGCATTATCAATTATTGGTCAGTAAAGCTATCAAAAGGAAAAGCAACAAGGGACACAAATGAAATAACAGGGAAACAAAGAAGATCGTTGCCAACATCTGATTCTCCCTCACTTTCTCACAACTCACAAGGCTAAGACAGAGCATAGAGCCTGTATGAAAGTAAGAAGGAGAAGAACAAGTGCAGCCACAACAGAAGCAGCTGACCAAGGATTGTGGAAATAATCACGTCTCAGAGTTGCGTTCCATTTGTTCCAAGGCGTGTTGCAATACGCCTGTAGATTCTCATATATTGTCTGATAGTAAAAACCGCTGTAACTTGTTTGAGTTGTCCCCTTCGATACGCTATTGAACAGCTTCGAAATGTCTTCTGCGTTTCCACGCCTGTTCACGATGATCCCATGGTCGACGAACAATTCAGCATCCGTAGGGGATCTTACGAAGCAACTGAGGAACCTCATATAGTGGATGAAGTAAGCATCTAAACGATGACATTGCTCAAACAAGATGATGTTTCTGTATAGAGCTTCTGTGATGTCGCTGATTTTGATTTTGGGAACCATAAGAACTCCATTGGCAAAGCTTATGTGGAGGGGGCACGTGTTGTTGTCTGCAGGCTTGAGCTTCACGCCGGCATTTCGAATCTCTTTTGCACTCAGTGTAGAGTCATTCGTCCTCATGCTTCTTCCTGGAAAGCTCAAAACCGAAGGCAGGTGAATAGACCTCAGGAGGTCAACAAAATGGCAGGTCTCTGAATCAGAAATGCTTGTCGAAAATGAAGGGATGCTCATCCAGAATTTCTTGAAGTGGCCGTGAATGATTCGAGTAAGAGGGGGATGTCCCCGTCGGTAGTCATCATGTAGCAATCCAAACATGCCCTCCACAACAAAATATGGAAGCTGATTTTCAAGCAACATTATGTCATGGTTCACATCGACAATCATCTTTTGCTTCCCGTATATCCTATCCAGCATACCTCTGTCTACATCAAATTGAGACCTTAAGAAAAGTTCTACTAGTAAGCTGGCATCAACGATTAGCATCTTCACAAATTCGTTACTATTAAGTCTTATATCTTCGACATAACAGAAACGAGCGCTTTCTTCCCATGACCTTGCAACTCTAACCAGGTCCTCTAAACTTAAGGGTGTTCTAGGAATAAAACTCTGCAGATACCTCAGTTTATGATCTTCCATGGCTTGAAGTTTTTTTTTACCGTGATGTAAGGGCCCGATGGATACAACCCGAGGCACATACGCATCTGGGTTCAATCTTCGCAGCCTCTCAGGTACCTTATAGATACAACAGTAGACAAAGAGAAGACAAAGCTTCCAACTTCTCTTTGATGGAATCTACAAGGGGATCACCTTGACGCTCCACAATTGCCTGATTCTGATCCATGTCTCCTATGACTTTCAACAGAACCAGAGCCTTGAGTTGTGTAAAAATGAGAGACAACTTCTTTCTTGCACTGCTGGAGAAAAATAAAGAATTACGGACAGAATTTAATATGTCAACGCCAAATCTTGACTCCTTCTCACAAATACTCTTCAATTTGCGGTACCACACGTTTACCAAGTCATCTGAATCTCTTGTGGTGACTGTTATAGGCCTCTCAGTTCTGTAAACAGAAGTTATAGAGTGCATATATCAAGAATTCACTCCTCATGACACGAACAAGTTGAGAAGAGCAGGATCATGGGATTATTAACGGATTATGAAACTGCAAGCGATATCATGATCTTCTATTGAAACTCCTGTGATGAACTGATGATACAATACTCTTAAAATTTGTGGTAATGTGCTTTGATATTGAAAGATACTGACTACTGAGCAGAGTCCCAGAAATAAACAACTCACGAAACATGCAAGGTAAGTGAGAGGAAATAACAAAGCTACAATGCCATTTTCTTTTCCTGACGTTGGCAACAAAGACAGGACACAAACTCTAACCAAATGTCAAAAACTCACTTGAGCTTAGATTTTGAAGAGCTCATGAGAGGTTTAGCTATAGGACGAGCAGGAGCGGCCCTCGTGGCTTTCTTCAAGTCATACTTTATCATAGAGAAAGCGCAGATCATCGCAATCACCATGGTCGGGTACACATAAACGGCTCTGGTTGGGTCGGTATTTGGTGGCTTCCCTAAGATTCCTTCTTTGACAAGACCCCAAACTAGTAGCAATGACCCGAACATGCCCATCCTTCCGGGCTTTAGCAGACCCACAAACGCCCCAGCTACAGAAAAGTAGCTCCCTGCAAGAACCTGGCCAAAATAAATAACTTGTGAGTCTACAGAAGGGGACATAGGTAAGAAAGAATCAGAATGTGAGAATGAATTTCGTTAAGCGATCTCGTGATTGCGAGAAAAAACGAACCTCTAGGCGCTGAAGATCGGGCACTGCAGATGCTTCTTTCACACTGGTGAGATTGTATATATCCAAAACATTTTCCCAGTTTGGAAACGTCATGTTCGTGGCAAGACCATTGACAACAGCACCAGGGTATAGGAGAGCCTTAATCACCGGAACAGGAAAGATCTCACTAGAAATCAACTGAGACGATGTCACATGAATAGGTGACATACACATACCAGATCTACATGGAACCCTGTTTAAAAGATCATGATTCAAGTCAGATTGACCAAAGAAAGAACCATGTAATGAATGATCCATAGAACTAAGAGTCTAATCTACTGATCAACTTCAAACCAAAAACAAATAGCACCTCTTTCTTAAGATCAATATTACTAATTTCCTCTTGATTCAAGCCGATTAAGCAATGAAACTAGCTTACAGTGTTTAATCTAGCAAGAGATCCAAAAGTACTAAATGCGGAAACTTGAAAGTGAATCGGAAATCAAGTTTTCATCAAAACCCACGAAAGAGAAAGACTCGCCAACTTCAAATTTCGGATTCATTGACGCATCTTTCGTTTAAAAAAACGAACTTTAGGGTTCGAATTACCATGTAAGAGTTTGGATTTCTAGTATGAAATTTACCTGAAGAGAGGGATCTGGAGTATAATCAAGAGGAAGTAAACGAGTGAAGCTATTGAAGACCAGTTCTTAATCCATCCCTTTGATTGCCCTGGATTCGCCATTATCAAGCAAGCTTCGAATGACTCGATTCTAGAGAGAGACAGATCAGTTTCCTCCTTCTATAGAGAGAGAAAAGACCCGTTGAATAACCAGAAGATAACGACGAAGGGGAAAAAACGACACGCTTTGCTATATAGTAAACACAAAACATCATGAGTGTTAATAGCTCCGAGGGAAAAACGACATCGTTTAAAACGGAGTCGATACGATTTGATACAAAATCTGCTGAAAACAGCAAACAGTTTTTGATGATAAAAAGATATGGCGGTTGCTCTATCTTCCTCCGGCGTCGCCTTTCATCTTCAATCTCCGTCGTCGTCAGGATTCACCGGAAACAGACTTCTGTTTGGTAATCGGAACACTAGTCCTTGTGTTCTATCTCTTCCAGTTCATCGTCCTTCTCGCTCTGTACTTGTTTTTGCTCGTGGGAAGAACCGGAAAGGATTCGGGACTTCGTCTTCTCCGTCTCCGAAGAAGAACAAAAAGGTAAGAAAATCACACAAACTCATAATCATTTGCTAGGCATTTGCATTTTACCTGCTGCTTTCTCCGAATTTTTCCTGGAATTTTGATACACTGTGAGCTATAAATCGTTTCGAATGAGTGAGAATACCTTCGGTTTCGTTGTTTTTTGGCAGAAAAGTTTCGAGGGAGATGATAATGGAGGAGGTGAAGAAGAGGATGATCCATTTGAGGCACTGTTTAATATGCTAGAAGAAGATTTGAAGAATGATTCAGTTGATGATAAGGAGTTAACTGAGGAAGAACTAGATGCATTAGCAGCACAGTTAGCTGAAGCATTAGGTGTTGGTGATGATGAAGATGAAATTGATTTGTTTTCTTCAGCCAC